ATTTTCATCTTCTGCCATTCTTTCTCTTTCTGCTGCCTTTTCTTTTTCTCTTTCTTACTATTCTTTTTTTTTCTCTTCTTTTGTCATTGTTTCTTTTTGTCTTTCCTCTTCTTTTTTTTCTTCTTTTACTCATTTCGCCTCTTCCTTTCTTCTCCTTCCTCATTTCCTTTAGTTTTTTTCTCTTTCTCTTTCTCTTTATTTTCTTTTTCTTTTCTCTTTTCCCTTCTGCGTCAACGCTCGAAGCGTGAGTTAACATTCTTGTCTCGAAGACCAATTCGCTTGTGGCTTTGAAACATTCCAATCGAAGCTTAATTAATTATCATTTTAGCATGTCTCATCGAACAATACATATCCTATGTTGTTAAGGTTATGGCCGGCAGTAATAAATCCTGATAAGATTCATAATTTTCTCAAGATCATCTCACTGTAATGGTTAAATAAGTCCAGTGAGAAAACGCTTTCTTGTCTTCTACCCTTTCTACTTTTTGCGTATTTAGTGATTCCCTTTTTTATCTGTATTCAGACGGTTGGCTCCAAGTATCATTTCTGGATTATTCTAATATCATTTTCAAATATACCAAGAATTTTTGGATTATTCTAATACCATTTTCAAATATACCAAGTATTTTTGGATTATTCTAATATCATTTTCAAATATACCAAGAATTTTTGGATTATTCTAATATCATTTTCAAATATACCAAGAATGTTTGGATTATTCTAATATCATTTCAAATTTTTTGGATTAAATATATTTTCAAATAATGTTTGGATTATTCTAATATCATTTTCAAATATACCAAGAATTTTTGGATTATTCTAATATCATTTTCAAATATACCAAGAATTTTTGGATTATTCTAATATTATTTTCAAATATACCAAGAATTTTTGGATTATTCTTGTCCAAGGTAGAACCAATAAAGAAGAACTCGAAGGCGGATATGGAATAACACAGATATATTAAAAACAGGAATATATACAGAGAGGTAGAAAAGTGTTAGTACGAACAATCAGGTTTAGTAGTAATTGTCTGAAAGCGACTCCGTTTCGGACTGCCTCTGACTCGACTGACTGAGTCGCTCGCTCTGACTAACTGACTGACTTCTGACGGACTTCACTCCAGACTTCAGACTGAACTCAGACTTCAGACGGAACTCCCTGCTTCCTCTTAAAGCGCAATATTTATTACGTATGGAACAGTCCATTATGTTATTATGGGTAAGGTCCCATAACACCCTCCTTCCGAAAATTTTGCGTAGCAGGGTTTTTTTTTAATATATTTTTTTCTTTGGATCTATTTCCAAATGTTCAGTAGATTTTCTTTTTCTAGACGATTTTCTTGGTCCTGGCATTATTTGCGGTCTTTTTATATCGAATGTGTCGAAAATCGTGTCCAATATCTCTTCTTCTGGTGGATCGTTAGCATCCTGTAACGGTCTCTTCCTTATTTGGTTTACGTGTCTTCTGTGTGAGAATTTTTTTCCTTGAACTATGTACATCATATTGCCAATTCTTTTCTCAATTATCCCTTGTTCCCAGCAACGAGGTATTATTTTTATATGCCTTAAAAAAACTTTTTCCCCTGGGAGGAATTTTCTTTTTGGTGTGTAGGACTGTGTTACTCGTTTTGTTTTAGGTGGTAGTAATTTATCGAACGCTGATCTGATTTTCCTAGCAAACATGATATCTGCCGGTGATAATGTTGATGATGTCGCATTATTTGGCGTTATTCAATATACCTGTAGGAATTGCTGTAATGCTTTCTCCGTAGGCACATCGTACGCTTTTCGTAATGCTCTTTTGAGAGTATCCACGAATCTCTCCGCTTATCCATTTGATCTTGGATGGTAAGGAGGGGACTTTATATGTTTTACGTGATAGATTTCGCAAAACTCTTGGAAATCTTCTGACGTGAATTGCGTTCCGTTATCTGATACTAAACAGTCCACCACGCCAAACCGAGCAAATACTCGTGGAGGAAATTTATGGTCGTTTCTGTAGTAGGATGTTTGCACCGAAACACCTCCGGCCATTTACTGTAGCTATCAACTATGATCAAATAGTAGAACCCGTCAATTGGTTCTGCATAATCTGCGTGTATTCTTGACCATAGACGATCAGTTTCAGGCCAAGGCTTATGAATGATTGGCGGTGTTTTAGCTGCTAAATTACACCCCTTACACATTTCCATCATTTGAGAAATATCCTGGTCCATATTCTTCCAATATACATAGCTTCGCATTAGCGACTTCATTCTATTTTTACCCGGCTGTCATCTGTGGAAATCCTTTAGTATACGTTTTTGTAAAGTTTTGGGGGATTACAACCCTTTCGTTGTAAAGTAGCACATTATCGCATAGAGAAAAGCTGTCCGAAATTTTCTCATTTTTTTCTGCTATATTTGCTTTTGTTTCATTAATAAATTCGTCATTTTTGGCTTCATTTTTTATGTCTTGCAATGTGACTGGGAGGTTTCTGACTGTACAACATAGTACTGTCCTTATGTCTTCTTCATTTCTAAGGGCTGCGATTACCGTATCTTCTAATGGCTCTGTCTTTGTTGGTATAAGTCTCGACAGACCATCCGCGTGCCCGATTCTTTTCGTTGGTAAATATTCCAATCTGAAATTATAGTTCAGAAGAATCGTTCCCCATCTAAATAGTCTATTTGCCGTGTACACCGGTAGACCTTTTTTTGAACCAAAAATTTTTTTTAACGGTTTGTGATCCGTCTGCAGAGTAAAGTGTCTACCATAATCGTATCTATGGAATCTTGTTACTGCGAAGATAATTGCTAGAGCTTCCTTCTCAATTTGTGAATAATAGTAGGGTTCGGGCATCATGTGCGATAGGTTTTATTGTCCCATCTGGCATTTTATGTAATATACACGCTCCGACACCGTAGGCGCTCGCATCACTTGCTACAATAATCTCTAGTTTAGGATCATAGTGTGCCAAAAATAAATCCGATGTTAATGTCTTGATTATTTTTTCGAATGTTTCCTGGCATTGATCTGTCCACTGCCAAATTTTTTCTTTCTTTAGCAGTTCGTTCAATAGTGCGCGAAGTTTATGCATTTGAGGTATGAATTCCTGGTAGTAATTCACTAATCCAAGAAGATTTTGTAGTTCTGTTATGTTCTTAGGAACTGGCATCTTTTTTATTGCTGTAGACCTTTCAGGGTCTGGACGTCTACCTTCTTGGTCTATTATATGGCCAAGATATTTAATTTCCTTCATGAAAAAATCACACTTATTTTCTTTCACTTTGAATCCGTAGCTTTGAATTCCCTTAAACACTTCTTGTAGATGTTGCCAGTATTGTTCAACGCTTTCGCTATTAATCAATATGTCATCCAGATATGCTATTGTGTATTCTAGTCCTGCCAGCATCGTATCCATTGTCTGATGGAAAATAGCCGGCGCTACTTTAATTCCAAACGGTAGTCTTTCGTATCTGTACAATCCCTTGTGTCTGTTTATGCATAGTAGTTTTGAACTTTCTTCATCGACTGGAATTTGCAGGTAGGCCTCACTTAGATCAATTTTTGAAAAATATTTTCCGACATTTAATTTAGTGAATACTTCTTCTTAACGTAGACCGTCGGTGCGGCCCATTTGCTGTACTCTACTTTTTTCAATATGCCCGTATTTTCGAGTCTAGATAATTCTTGGTCAATCTTTTCTATTGACGCAAGCGGTACACTCCTTTTTTCTTAAAAATATGTTGAACGTTATTCTTTATTTTGATATTAGCTACCATTTTCTTGCATCTTCCGAGACCTGCCTAAAATACTTCGGGGAAACTCGTTTTTAGTTTTCCTTTTAATTTGTCTGCCTGGGTTGATAAGCTTTTTACATTCTGGCAGTAGGTGCTAATAGGTAGATCCCACAATTCAAATTTTTGCATCCAGTCTGTCCCGAATAGGTTTTCGGTATTTCTTAAAAAGTACAATTTTAGTTTTTTCGTCATTCCGTTAAATGTTACGTTTTTGATTATTTCACCCTCGAATTCTATCTTTCTCCCCGTAACTGATCTCGCTATTTTATCCGTTTTTAACATGACAGGTTTGTTCAGTTTTCTCCATGTTTGTAGATTTATGATAGTTAAGTCTGAGCCAGAATCCAGCTGTAACCTAACTTTTCTGTTTTGCATTTCAACTTGTACATATTTTCTTATATTAGTCTCATCTGTTTGGTCGGTCCTCGTAATTCTTATTCTGCTTTCTTTTCTATACCAACAGTGAGAACTTTTGTGACCAATTTTTTTACATGATAGACAAGTTTTAGCACGATATGTACAGCCTTTAACCCAATCCAAGACCCACAGCGATAGCATGGACTTGGTGGTAGTTTCTTTTTATGTTGATTATAATTAGAAAATTTTGTTTTACCTGTTCTTCATCTCTTTAAAACCACATGAAAAATCACATCATCTATTTAAAAGAGGGAAGCAGGCATATTCTACATCTCTTTAAACCCCATGGAAGATCTCCTTCTCAACTCTTTTAGACTGGTGGCGGAAAATTCTTCATTCCTTTAAAACTTACAGAGGACCACCTGTTCAACTTTTTTAGACTCGAGGCAGACATTTTCTTCATGTCTTTATACATGGAATGTCAGCTATTCAACTCTTTTAATGCTGCAATCATGTCTTCTCTCAGTCCTAAGAAAAGCCACTTCAAAGCATTGAATTCTAAACGAGACCGTTTCTTTAACATTAATTTCTCAGACATGCTAACTCTTCAGTTCTTTCAATACCGGTGCCAGCCACTTTTTCAACTCTAATTTTTTGGGGGGTGGGGGAAGGGGGGTTATAATGATTTTACTCATAAATTCCTACTAATTAACCTATAGCTGAGGAGAAAATGAGTATTCATACCTTTCCAAGTGTATTTGCGTGTAAGTGCCTATAACGAACCCGACCAGAATTGGAACTCGGCTTTCCGATTTCCATTTCCCAGCCGTTATGCATTACATCCCGCACATCTTTCTGAACCTGGTATTCCAAAACGGTCACTCATCTAGGTACTGAACAGGCTCGACGTTGCTTAACTTCAGTGATCGTACGAGAACCTGTGTATAAAATTTAAGGAAAATCAATATTGTGCTTCTTATTGTTGTTGTTGGTAATTGCATTATGAGTAAAAGTAATATCAGTATCCAAAACAGTTGTAGTAGCAGTAATCGTTTTTTGTATTATTATTTTTGTCATGTTATTTATTTGCTTTTGTCATCGCTATCATTGTCACGCGATGTCAGAGTCATTCTCACTACCATCACACCGTAAGAGACACCACCCCATTGACTATGACAAGAACGAAAATAAATTGCTTTTAACATCATCCAACCGTCTAATTTTATTTGAGAAATTGAAATTGGCGTCTTTTGGGGTTTTTTTAAATAAATATGTTTTTATTTATGAAAAATATTTCATTGTATGTCTGTGCATTTTCAGCAGACATCATCATCGTTGTTATTATTATTATTGTTATTATTATTATTATTATTCTGCTAGTCCCTAACTTAACACGACCGTTACGACCTACCAATACCTCATAAATAATAGACTATTCCATTTAGAGAGAAGCTACTTGATTTCAGTGAGAAAATGAACGGAAGAAAGAAAGAAAAAGAAGTGAAATGGAAAAAGTGGCTAATTCCAAATCTTTTCATTTGTACCCTCTTACTTCTTTAAATAACGATCAACATTCATATTTATGATTGTTATTGCAATATTTTATTAAATTTTTAAGCTGAAATATGTAACGATGCCATTGGGGAGAACTCGTCATGAGATTATTCAATCATTAACTGAAGAATTAAGATTCATTGGAATTTTCAAATAGGAAAACCGTAAAATTTTCACGGGTCTTTCTGGTTATTATAATTCTGCTTAACCCTCCCTTAGTTACTTATGCTTATACATACGTTACGTGCTGCCAATAACTCATAAATAATGGAATGTTCCATTTTGATCGCGAGGAAAGACGAAAAAGACATATCATAGACGCTGTTTAATTTCAATGAGGAAAAAAAAAACAAAGTTAAATCAGAAAAGCCATTAGATTTGTTGGTTATTGCGGCCGCATACCAAAAGACCACCTGTATGGAGAGCTGACCGCTGAAAGGAGACAAGGGAGGGGAAGCTGACACAAATCGCCACGAAAAGGCAGGCTCGCAGAGAGCAAAGTGATAGTTCCAACAGACCAGAGACAGGACATACATGCAACCTCTGCAACAAAGATTGTTACTCCCGCATCGGCCTCTACAGTCACAGATGTTGATGCTCCAGCCAAGCAGACAACTAGGATGCTATCCATGGTCAACTCTGACCGAAGTAGACCTAAATGACATACGCCCTAGTATTGCCTCAGATAAACAATGTGCCATTCCTGTTTAATTTTGAGGATAGACGGAAGTAAAGATATGCCAAAAAATATTGTTTTTGCTTAAAGAAAGAAAGAAAGAAAGAAAGAAAGAAAGAAAGAAAGAAAGAAATTGAAGATAGGGGAAGCGATAGCACTCTTGTGTTTAACGAGTATTTCAGTAAAATGGAAAACCTTGTCAATTTCGAATCTTTTTATTTGTACCCTCTTACTTCTTTAAATAATGACCTTCATTTATATTTATGTTTGTTATCGTAATTTTTTCTTAAAGCTGTTCAGTTCGAATATCTAACGATGCAATGGGGGAATTTCCATGGATATTTTATTGTCGGAAGAAGTTTATTCAATAATTAAATTAAGAATTAAGATTAATCGGAAAAAAACCGCGAAATTTCCACGTGTATTTTTAGATATTATTATTATTATTATTATTATTATTATTATTATTCTAAACAATATTTCGACAATGTTAAGTCAATTCAAAGAGAAACATTCAAATTTCTACAGAGTTAGGCAATTGTACTGATTCCCATTTAAAATGTGCTGTCCAATGCACCAAACATCATTTGTAGGTTGCACAACGGAAAAATTAAATAAAAGATTTAATAGGTACAAGTATGATGTCAGACACAACAATATGACATCAGCGGAGCTTGGAGGACATTTTATTACAAAGGACTGTGATTTCGACAAGCATCTTTAGGTGCACATTCTGAAAAATATTCAAAATCTACCGACATATCGACCCTTAAAACGCATGAAGATGGTTGCGTAAGAAAATTACTAACTTCCCCGTTCGAGGAAATGAACAGAATGATAGGAGATTCCCATAAATTTTATACTAAGCTGTTTCATTAATTCCACTTAATAATTAATCAATTATCGGAAAATTTCAAGATGAACAAGATCACTATCTTATTAAGCACGTTTCAGTTACATGCCTTCGTTTTGACGTGTTCATTTGCAATACTGCCGTTTTTTCATTACAAGACAAGCAACGTTTATACAAAGATTTTTTTGTGAATTTATATATATTTTATAACTTGAAGAAGACAGATATATTGTTGAAATTTTGTTTAACATTACCAAACACTGGGTTTTTTTCTTTATCTTTTCTTAAATCACTCTCTTCCCTTAACTGTTGAAAAACATTGGAAGAGTTAAGGGAATGATTTCACTTATTATTATTATTATGACTATTATTACTATTATTAATGAGTAAAAGCGTTGTAGCCCAACAAAATAATGCTGCGATGCCAATGTATAAAGCCAAATATACCCATAATGGTTAACAGTCTGATAAGCGTATAGCGTGCACATGCATCGGATCCAAATATGTGTCAAAATCTCTCATCATATTTGATGAGAGGTTTTGACAAAAGCAGTGCACAATCTTCATGTTTCGGTCCATTTTAAAATACTCTCACTTTGAGTAATCGCCAATTGAGGACGTTCCCAAGTATCTAGGTATGGCACACGAGATGCCTTGGCTGTCCAATCCTTAAGGTTTAAAAAAAAATATTAGTAGTAGTAGTAGTAGTGGCAGTTTGCAAATTACTTACTTCCACCCCAACCCCCCACTGGGGGATGAACAGAATGACAGGAGAGTCCCATATGTTTAATACTAATCTGTTTGATTAATTCTTCTGAGTAACTAATCAACTAACAGAAAATTCCAAGATGAACAAGATCACCATTATATTACAGACGTTTCGGTTTCATACCTTCAACATGGCGGCGTTTCATTCGTTTTGACGCGTTAATTACCAAAACAGCCGTTTTGTTTTTTGTGGGTTTTTTTTTTCGGGGGGGGGTTGTTCATTACAAGACAAGAAACCTTTATAAATTTTGTAGATTTATATATTTTTATACTTGAAATATTTAAAAAATATATGACTTGAAGAAGACATTCATACTGTCGAAATAGTGTCAAACACTGCTTTTTTGTTGTTTTTTTCTGTTATTCTTTTTCTTAAATCGCTCTCTTCTCTTAAGTGTTGAAAAATATTAGAAGAGTTACGGCAATCATTTTATTTTTTATCATTATTATTATTATTATTATTATTGTTGTTGTTGTTGTTGTTGTTGTTGTTGTTGCTCCTGGTCTTCTTCTTCGTCTTTTTCTCATCATTATTATTATCATTATTATTCTGTTGTTCTATTTCTTGTTCTTGATTATCGTGATGACGATACTGATGATTTTGTATTTTTAAAGTTTCCAATATTTAATTTATTCTATTTTTGTACACACATGCGGAGGTGGTGACATGTATCTATGTGTATGAGATTTATTTATTTATTATTCTCCTGCCATTTTTTATTGGGGGTGAAAAGGAGTAAATATCTGACGTCAAAAGTTTTTTGAAATGTCGAGAGAGATGAAGTTACACGGGTAGGGGGAGCGGAAATTCCTCCACAAATCGTTTGCTTTTTGCTTCTTACCCTCTTCATGTGCACATTTTGAGTATCAGGAACGGAGAGTGAGGAAATCATTAAGCAGAAAGGCGTTGTTTTCCGACCAATGGCGGTGGCTGAGACGCGGGAAATACTACGAATTTGGACTTCCCGGAAATGACTTCGGATAACAATTAAAAAAAAAGACACAATAATGCAAGACAGTTTTACACAATTAAAAGAAAAAACAGAAGAAAATTTTTTATTTTTTTTTTTTGTTATCATTTCACCCCAAGCAAGGCAATAAATCCTCTAAGATACAAGGTGTTAGAGAGTGTAATGGAACAAAAAAAAAACATTATTAAGGAGAAAGAACAATAAAAGCCCAAGAATTAAGAAAAGAAAAGATTACGATTGACACTGAATTTAAAGTTTTAAAGTTCAAGCAAGAAGCCAGAAGAGAGAGCCACAAGCGAGTAGTGTGAGTGAAGAAAGTATTAACATAGAACTTATAGTTACATCTAGCCAATATCAACTGTAAAATAATGAGACCTTGCCACCAATCTATACGTGAACCTGTTGCGGCATTTACCTGGTCGGTTGAGCCGGCTCTGTGAAACAAACCCGACGCATCCGAACGAAAACTGACCAAGCGTAGCCAAGGTCGTATTCATTCGGCTGTGCAAATCCAAAGTAGGAGTTTCAGTGGGAACTTGGATTCACAAGCGGCCCTTATCTGCATGCATTTAAAGTTTAGATATCAAAGAAGAAAGCTCATCAAATCAATTCGATATAGGGACTGTAAGTGTAAAGTTGAGAATGAATCCGATATTTCACGCTTACCTTTCTAACTTAACTCTTAATCAACAACGACTTTGCATCGACGTAGAGTAAAATACGTTCAATCAGTTATCGTCGGCTGAAAGTCATGTCTCTAATTTTCAACAACCTGTCAGTTTGTGTTATCGTGGTGTTCCGTATTCCTTTCACAAACTCTTCTTCTAGACAATGCAAACCTAACGCAGATATTTCAACACGTCGAGTCATATTTCATAGTCATTTCCCCAAGCCTAATAAACGGTACATTAAGCTGCTATTCTGTATGAACCGAATCAATCCAGAAGTGTCAGTTCGTGTTACGAGCTTGCTAAGCACTGTTAAATGGGTCTTCTTCTTCTTCTACGTGCCGTGTCTCTCCATAAGATTAGCGATCATGGCTCTCCACGACCTTTTACCCATTGTAACCCTTAGCAACGTTTCTCCTTAGGCCAAGCCTCCCATGAACCGTTCCGCCATTCATT